CCCTCCCATCAACCTTATGGCGTTCAGGCGATTCAGTTCCATCCACCAATATTTATCAAGCGGCTATTATGTGTCAGGAAGCAGGGGGTTCTCCCCGCCTCACCTAAGGGAGTTTTAACTGGATGCCCAACAGGGTCCAGAACAGGGAAGGGAGGTTGGGGGTAGGCAGGGAGAAGGGAAAAGCTGTGCACACGTAGCCTGTGTTCAGGCCCTCTTTCTTCCCTCTGCACTGGAGGAACTTGACCCCTGAACTCTCTCCCCCGTGATAGGAAAGGTACAAGGGACATCAGTACAGCCATAGGCAGAGCCCCTGGACCCCAACTTCTGTTGGAACAGGAAGTCATGCCTGGTCTCTTTCTGCTCTGAAAGTTCTGGGTTCCTTCTGCTATGAGATCCCAGATGAAAGGAGAGACCCACGTGCACCTTTACCCACAGGCCTTGCTACCATCCAATACTCACTCCTTGGAATCAAGGCATTTCCCCAGAGTCTCTAGTCAACAGGGAGACATTAACCCATTACTGTTTGGGTAACATAACTTCTTTCCCATTCACTATCACAATACAGTAGTGCAGGCAAATTACAGGATTGCTTTTGTCAGAGCCTGGAAGAGAGGCCTGGAGCCAATCCTACACACATCTGCATATTGGAAAATAGTGATTATAACAGCATTTACTATTGAGCCTAATTTCTAAATCTTCACAATTCTGCAAGGTAATTATTGTTTCCATTTTGCAGATGATGAAATTGAGGTTCAGTTAGATCAAGTGACTTGCTCATTTAAGGTCACATGGCTACTAGGTGGCTCACCTGGGATTGTAACCAACCCAGGCCTCATACTAATGCCTTCTTAATGACCACATGGTTGTTAAGCCTTGCTCCCTGGACCCCCGCTCCCTGTCAGTTCCCGCTACTCCTTAGAGGGGTCCTATCCCAGAAGGATGTAGTTCTGTCACATCTCTCTCATGGTTGTTTGGCTGGGCCTAGGAGTTGATGCTCCTGGGAAGGGTGGGGTGTACAGAGCCAAGGCAAAGCTGCTGAGGGTAAGGTCTGCTGGGGAGAAGTCTGGGCAAGGACAGAGGGATCAGCTGGAGCCCCGTGAAGCTCCTTCTTGTTCTCCCTCCCCATAGGGCATCTTCAGGGCAGTGCAGAGTCCTGCTCTTGTCCCCAGGGTGTTTCGGGACCGAGGACAAGCGGGGCCTGCTCTTCTTTCTCCTTATCTGACTCTGAGAAGCTGCAGGACTCTCTCTTCCCCCTGCGAGGGGACACTGTCCAGGGCCTCAGCCTACTGGCCTGAGGCTCCCACCCTGCGTTTAATTTCCACCAATAATGCTCTCAAGTCCTGGGTTGAGACGCCAGACCAGGGTACAGCCCACAGAGCTCCTTCACCTGCAGTAGCGGGCTAGTGACAGGTGGGAGAGGGGGGAGCCTCTCGGCCCCAGGTAGCTGTCCCCCTTGTAGGGGGTGAAAAATAACTGTCCCTTTACCCTTTAGAGTTCTTGGCTGAGACCCCTGTAACAAGAGACAGATTAACAAGAGAAAAACAAGTTTATTCATGTGTATACCTCACGTATACCTGGGAGACACCCAGGGAAAATGAGTTAACTTGCCCAGGTGGCCTAAACCATCTTTAGCCAAATATGAAATAAAGAAAGGTGAGGGTGGGAGAGGAAGCCAGTTATGGGAAGTTACCAGGAAAAGCAGGGTAAACAAAGGTAAGGTTTGTTATGCAGATTAAGTCTCTGCCTTCTCCATTGATAACATTCTCTTAAGATTTAGTCATGTCCTCCTCCAAGTGCAGCGAGGTAGACACCCTTAACAAATGGAGATTTCCTTTATAAGTATAAATTTCCCTCTCAAAAAAGTAATTTCTACTCTGTTTTCCCAAGTTTCTCCCTTTGACTGCAGAAGATTGGCACTTAAACCCAGAGTTCCAAGGCAGGATGATAGGTGTCATTACAGTTGTGCCCGGGGTGGGGGGCTGTGGGAGCCCCGGGGAGGGCCCTTAACCTGGCCTGTACTAGTCATTGGGCCCCAAAAGTGAGTAAGACACAGTCCTTCCTGCAAGGAACTCAGAGGAAGAGAAACTCCCTTCTGAACAAGGTGTTGGGGGAGCACAGGTGGGGTGGCTAACTCTGCAGGGGAGAAGGCCGAGAGAGGGATTGAATTTGGTCCTGGAGAATATGAGTAAGTGTTTACTAGGTGAAGAAGAGGAAGGCTGTTTCCGATGGGAGGGAGGCCTTAGGGTTTTAGCGAACGGTGAAGCATTTGAGGTGGTGAAGATTGTCCTGTGTGGGGAGGAGATGAGGCTTGTTAGGTAGTTGGAGGCTGGGTCATGAAGGGTGTTGGATGCCAGGATAAAGAATTTCAGATTGTGGACAGTAGAGAATTTTAAAGCCGAGGGATGGCACGATCGCATTCACCCTCTAGGAAGAACACCAGGCTAGTGTGGAGCATGAACTAAAGGGGGCAAGTAAGTTGGGAACGTGTATATAGAAGCCAGGTGCCAGCTGGGGCCTCCCAACCCACAGAGAGAGCTCTCTGATGGCCTCAGAGCCTTGCCAGAGCCACAGCACGGGAGAGTCCAAACCCGCCACAATTTCTGCAGATTCCTGGCCCTTAGGCTCTCATGGTCTCTTGCCTGAGGCTCCTGTGGTCTGTGCAGTCCTTCTCTGTGTTGACAAAAAAATTAATCAGTCCAT